AATAATATAAAAAGGCAAATTTAAGACTGCATTATGTGTTTCTGCTAATAGAGGAATCATAGCCATTTAGATTTTTTTTTATTCTGTAAAAATGCTTGTCTAAGTTTTCTTTGCTGAATTTGATGGAAGTTGTCTGAATAATCTGGAAATGCCAGTTCATTTAAAGCAATTGCCAATGAACTCTAAGTTTAAATTTGAGGGACAAAAATAGTTTTGCTTGGATTTACTTTCAGTTAAGAGAAATGTATAACCTTTATATAATGAACTTTTCTGTTTTCCTCCCTCTTTTTTTTTTTTTTTTTTGTGTCAAAACCTGAAAGGGTCATGTGTCCTGAGGTTGGGATTTTCTTTTAACTTATTTTGAGATTTGAAGCAAATGGTGTTTTTATATTGTTTACAGTCAGAGTAAATCACTGGATTTTGTTTTATTCTGATTTGCTCTGTTTTAATCAATCATATCTAGAATTTATATGCCTCTGCTGATGAATTTTTATCAACCGGTTTGTATACTAAAAACATATACTCATCAGAACAACTGGCAGGTGAAAAGGATGCAGTCAAAACGAAAGAAAAAGAAAAGAAAAGAAAAAAAAAAGCTTGAATTCCTTTAAGTCTTGCTTCCCTGAGTTATCAGTTGCAGGCATAACATATCTGAACTGAGCCTTTTGCAGTTGGTCTTTTCTAGCACAAGTAAACCTTTTCAGATTGGTAAAAATGTTGAGTATACTCAGTGCATTTTGTTTTCATTTTGTGAAGTAACAAGTCCATGAGGTCTAACAGTACAGTTAAGTGGCAAGGAAATAATATATATGTACATTTTTATTACAATGTTGAGTCATAAACTACAACAGGCAATTTTAAGGATTCCTTATAGTCCTTGTACAATAAATGAATGTGTCTTACTTTTAAACACTGCAATATATGTAAGTTTTAAGGTTGGTTAACAATGTACTATGGTTTTATATCTTGACTTGCCTTGTACCTCCTTCCATTATGGAACTTGTGTGTCCAAGCACAATATCTTCACACTGTGCTGTTTTGCTGCTGAACTAAATGCACTTTTCCCCACAGCTGGGGCACTTGCTTCAAAATATTCAGTTCAGTATCCTGATTATTCTTTTTTAACTTCATCCTATCTGTTTCAGTATTAAACCGATCTATTAAAAAAGAGGCACCTTTTTCATTTGTGCATAGATGTTGGTAGCTCAAGAGAAACACTGTAAGTAGTGGATATTCAGTTTTATCATGACTTTCTTCGTTGTTTAAAAGGCAGAAGATGCTTCAGGGACATTTACACTATTGCTGCACTTGCAGGGCCGGTTGTCCTTTTTCAGGAGGGTAGGAACTCGAGGTGGTTGCATTCCACGGTTGCTCAAGAACTGTCCGGTTTATGCTCGTTGGAATTGCTGCTGGGTAGTGTGGCTTAGAGGACTGTACCTTTTGAACAAAATTAAATCAACCGACGCCATGGAAAATCTGTTTCACATGCAGAAGTTCGGGGAGTATTATTTTTGGTTTTCAGGCATGCTTACTTGGACGTATTGCCTTGATCTGTTTGCATTCTGTTGTGTCGTACGTCTTTTCATTAACAAGGAGTAAGTTTAAATGGAAGGCAGGTGGAGATATAAAACCTTAGAGGGCTTAAACATGCTGTAAAACTATTGTAGATGTCACTGGATTTTACTAAGTAATGTTCTCTTCTTTCTCACACACTCTGTCTCTCTGCCCGCCCCCCCCCCTTTTTTTTTTTTCATCTACTGTAGCTTTTCAGTTTAGACTTTAGTTTATAAAAGGCTAGTTCCTTGCAGTTCTGCCTGAAGTTAATCTTTCTCAGCATTAAAGTGTTAAAATATGAAGATGCTGAAATGCTTAGTATCAAGACTGTAATCTAACTTCTGAATATACTGATAAATCCACATTTGTGCCCTCAGGTCACTAGGGGAAACTGGTTTGATGAATATGGTTCCTTAAAACAAAAGTGGCGACCCCTTGTGTTTTCAAGCATCTTGGTCTCTATCCCTGTCTGCTCCTCAATCCCATTTTTATAAGAGTTGATGGGATTGAATTTGTTTAGTTTGTAAATATGTTTATTTTTCACCTTGTTAAGGTACATGGTTAATGACTGTATGATTGGAGCTGGCCCCCTCTCACAGAAATTCTTGTGGAGAAGTTGGCTACCCTTACACTCGCTTAAAAACAAACTATTCTTTTCATTACACTTCTAGGAATAAATAAAGCTATGTTTTAATTCATTATTATATTAAAACCAGGATATTTTTTCAAGCTGTCTTTGTACTAGTACGGTTGTTGCAATGCCAGATAATCCTGAGCCCTGTTTTAGGAGTTTAATTTTATACATTCTGAGGTGCACTCTTATTTTTTCAGTGTCTCGAGAGATTTGAATAAAAGAAGTGTGAGAGAAGTTCTGGTACAGGAGAAATCAACCCAAAAGAATTTGAAAAGTTCTTTAAAATTATCTGAAAATTTAAGTATTAAATGTGTGGCATGGATTGGGAATAGATGCATATAAATCCGTGTAAGTACGTATGTGGATTTATATCCAAATCTATGCACAGATCCATATAAATCCAGCTGTTTTGATCATTCAAAACAGTCTTACATCCTGACATAACAGACTTTTGCTTTTCCCAGGGTGCTGGGTGTTTAACTGGTACAGTTTCTAAATTGTTTTTTAATGCCTGATGACATTCAGTTGGACACACGTGCTGGCTTATACATGTTTAAGAATTTTGTTTGGCCCAATCAGTTAAAGTATGAATGGAAAGAACTTCATCCTGACAAATGTATGTTTACATACATACATGTATGTATATGTGTATCTATATATGTATGGAAGGATAGACAAGGTGGAGAAATTAATTCTTTACAGCATCTTTAAAAACAAAATGAATAAACAGGTGATTCCCAGATACTTGTATTAAATCTTTACCCCCCTTGCCGTACTGGGGGGAATAATTTAGAAGGGTTATTGAAAAGTGTGACAATCTTTACTTTGGGTGAAAATCATGACCTTGATTGCTTGCCCATAGACAAAATACCAATTTTTCTATGTGTTTGTGCCTATGTACATAAGAATATGTACATATACACATGCCCCGTAAAGACACTATCCTGAATCATGCCTTGATTTAACAAGCTAAATTACTGTACTATAGACTACATAGTGTTATGGAAGTCTGGAAAGGTATAAGGCAGATTAGGGATTTGTTAAATAATGCAAAGAAGGAATAATTGCTGCTGTGACTCATGTTGGTCACGTGTTGCATTTAAATTTACTAAATAGAAAGTTGTTTGGTAATCCTTTGCAAAAATATTTTCTTTTAGTATAAACCCATTAAAGTTCTGTCTCTGGTTGTCCCATATTTAGCTCCGTCTCCAAAGTTGTCCAGTATGAACGCAGTGGAAATGCTGCATGTGAAGCGGGGTCCCGCAGTGGTGTCATTGGCACTTTTCCGTTTGCCAGGTGCTGTTGGGAACCTTGAAATTCGTCTGCCCTTTTTAGAAAGAGATTTGGGTTGTAGAATATTTGCTTCAGTGCCTCTCTTGGATTTAAGGTTTTCTCTGCAGTTTTGTCCATCTTTTGCTAATGTGTGAGAAACTGCATGTTCAGACTTCTTGAAGGTCGTGTTTGCTCATGTACATGATTTAGTAAATTAGTACTCAAGCTGTCTGGCTGGTCAGCGCTTAAACCCTTTGTGTCACCTGGAATTCAAGTATCATCTTGAATCCCAGGAGTTTGAAAAATACCTTTAAATACCTTTTATTTTAACAGTTAGAAAACTTGGAGAGTTTTTTTTTTTTTTTTCCTTGTTCTTTTTTTTTTTTTTAAACCCCAGACTAAATTCAATTTCTGAATCAGTACAAACCCATATCAGGGAGGTCTTCATATCTGGATGCAGCTAACAGTTTTCATGTACTCAGTATCACACCTTGGTTGTATCAAATCGGCATGCCAGAATGGCTTCTAATTAGAAATTTGCAGTTGGCAGTAATTTGCACAACACAAACTTCAAGGAACACTGAGGACAATTACAAACCAACGATAGTATCTACAAACAGTTTTTGGTTTTACTTTAGCAAAGATCAGAAAATTATGTTTCATTATTCTGATGTTTAGGTCTTAACCAGGACTGCACAGGACTTTTGCTGTGGAAAAATACCAGACCACACTAATTTTGTGGTTAAAAGTTAAACAAGAGTGTAAACAGTCTACAAAAATGTACTTTTAATCTGAATTATTGTAATGTTGATTGTTATGTCTATATAAAAGATTGCCTTGCTTTTTTATAAGAGTCATTCTGTATCAATGCATTCATTATAAATAGTATATTTGTAAATAAGCCGACACTGAGTCTTTTGAAAGTTTTCTAGTATTTCTAGTCTAACATTAACTTGGATGTAA